TGAACAATTAAAATCTGTAACATTTTTTAAATCCTCAAACTTCAGACATAAAAAGAATTTGTGTCTCTCTCACCCTAAGCAACCTTCTTCTTTTCCAAATACTGAGGTCACCTATAGATGAAGAGGCATGTGGCTGAGTTCACAAAATATCCTTTGAGATGACAGGCAGGAGGAAGGTGAGCCATGATGTTCAGTTCCAGGGAAGCAGTTTCCTATTGGATTGGTTTTTCCTACAAAGAAGGAAGCTGCAATGACCAAGTCCAGGAACTGTGTGCTGTTCCAGAAGATGGAAAATCCTGGAGGTTTAGAGTCATACACTTCATTCTTCTACAGTCTTCTTTGTCCATCTTAGATAACTCTCTATCAGTGACTGTGAAAGTTTATGAGAAACTGGTTTGGAAACAAAATCCTTAATCTTCTGGATAATATCCTTTTGAAGAAGTTTTTATTCTTGTTCTTGAAGGCTACCAACTAATACCAACTAACTGATTACTAAGAACATAACAGTACAGACAACAGCACACTGAGCAATATCCATATGACAATTATTCAAATATAACTAGATTAGGAACATAAAACTGAAAAATGTATCCCATGGAAGAGTGCAGAGGAATCTAAAAGATGTAGCTAAAAATCATGTAGGAGCAAGTCCTTCTGGACTTCAACTTAGAGCTACCTTTGTTAGCAATAGTGGAGCAGTACTTGAGACCCCTTAAAGCCACTAGATGCCTCTCAAAGCTTAATACACTCAAAACTGTACATTGGTAATGCAAAGAACTCACAAAATAAATATTTTCATTGTGTGTTATTTAACCTGGGGGTAATTTAGTTTAATGACATAACCACATATGACTTATTTACATGCGAATCTCCCTTTACAGAGCACCAATAATACAATTCTCTATCACTTCATTTTTATTTTCTAGTCCAGAGATTCTTCATGGCAATTTTTATCTCTGCATTTCTCAGAGTATAGATGATAGGGTTTAGCATAGGAGTGATAACAGTGTAAAACACAGCTAAGTATTTATCAGTGGGCAAGGTAAAAGGAGGTCTCACAAATAGAACAATACAAGGAACAAAGAAGAGAATGACCACTGTGATGTGGGAGCCACAGGTGGATAATGCTTTGTGCCTCCCTTCCTGACTCAGGTTTTTCAGGGAGTGCAGAATGACAACATAGGAGATTAGCAGAAGCATAAAGATAATTGAACAAATTGCTCCATCGTTGGCCAGCACACTGAGACCAATATAGTATGTGTCAGTACAGGCAAGATTTAATAAAGGGTACATGTCACAGATGAAGTGATTGATGACATTGGAACCACAGAAGGGAAGGTTGTAAACAGAAAGGATGTGTAATATAGCATGCACAAAACCGCCAACCCAGGCAAACAACAACAGCAGCAAACACATCCTATGGTTCATAATGGTCAGATAATGAAGGGGTTTACAGATGGCCACATAGCGGTCATAGGCCATGACCACCAAAAGTATTATCTCAGCCCCACCAAAAAAGTGTTCTAAAAAAAGCTGAACCATACAAGCTTGGAAGGAAATTGTTTTCTTCACATGGAGCAAGTCTACCAGCAAGTTTGGGGTAGCTGTGTTAGAATAAGCAACATCCATAAATGATAAGTAACCAAGAAAGAAGAACATTGGGGCATCCAAGGCAGGGCTGAGCACCACAGTGACGACAATGAGTAGGTTTCCTGCCATGGTCACCACATAGATCAGCAAGAACACAAAAAATAGTATTTTCTGGCCCTGGAGGCTCTGAGTGAGCCCCAAGAGCACAAACTCAGTCACGTTGTTCCTTTGCTCCATAGTCTTTCTTTGTGTCGTTGTGCCAGTGGTGAGAACCAAATTATCTGCAAACAGTTATTGCTACTGAGTCCATGATTTTATGATGTTTATTCATTTCTTAAATAGGAATTATTTATATTTTGTTCCTGACCTGTCAGAGAAAATAAGAAATCAAATTTGATGATGTAGAGAGCCTAAATTTAGAGCTTTAGTGGAATAATCAAAAGAGAAATGAAAAATTAGAGACATGTGCCTGTGAAATTAAATGAAGTCTTCCATAGAAAACTCTTTGTCTGAAGCTAATAGAAGGTCTCTGGGCTACCACCATGGCAAAATTAAAGATGTATTGATATTTTACATAAAAAAGAGCAAGGCTTTTTTTTTATTTAAGGTACGGTCTGTGTTCAGGGTCCCACTATTAGATCAGACTCATAGTAATCCTCCTGTTTACAACCTCCGAAGAGTTAGTAGTACAGGCTTTCATCACCATGCCCTGTCAGTCTCAGTATGCCCCGGGGGGCAGGACTGGCATGGCAGGCATGGGGATTGACACTCAGCCCCTGCACTTGCTTGCAGGGGCTTTAATCTGCTGAGCTATTTGGCTGGCCCTTAATGCTTATCTTATAATTCTTAGTAACAATGTAAATTTTATTTTATACATTATTGCAATTGAAGAAATTCCTCAATTTATAATAATCTCAGTTTGACACATTTGAAAGTGTCAAAATATTTTAGAATATGCAAACAGATAAAATACATAAGCAAAAGCAGTTTAGAGAGTTGAGACACACAATGAAAGGAGAGGGCATGAGAGAAGAGTACAGGGAGGGGAAAGGATGTCAGAGGATGGGAAGGTTTGCAGTGGAGGAAGTGTCAGGAGAGGAGGAAAGAGAATAAATAAGGGCAGCGACAGAGATGTTAAGTAACGACAGAAAAATTGCACACATAGAAAGAAATCTGCAAGTGGCACCATATTCACTAGCACTGTATTCATTTAAAAATGTTTCTAGTAATGATAATTTCTCTCTAAATCTCTATTGACATCTCCTTCTCTCTGGTTTATATATTATTCCTTGATTCTTCTTCACAGATGCAAAATATCTTTCTTTTTAATCCATGGCCCATGTCTTTTCATGATTTTATTTAGTCTGTATTTATGTTGGCATTGCTATTCCAGTCTTCCCTTCCATTTCCTCATCATTACTTTCCTTTCTGTACCACAGCATCCTCTCAGCATGTTTACACGGTATACTTTTATGTTCCAGAATTCTATCCTTGGGCCTTATGTTTCTTTGAAGCCAGCATCCAAATTCAATTCTTCGCTCATTTTATAGGAACAACTTCACTTATGTCCAAAGTCAATTTGCATTTTGGTCTTCCTTGATAAATTGTTTTTAATTAACCTAGAAGCTCAGTAATTCAATTACATATTACATTATGTTCCTCAGACCTGCTCTTTAAATTCTACTTTAACTTTTGACATTCTACACAATGTGCACATGAAAGCTCCTGTGATTCTAAGAATTTATGTACATCTACTCATTAATAATCTCTTAAATGTTTGCACAGCAACTAATTGATGCGAATACTGATGTTAGAAGAGAAAATGTGTTCTAGCTTTCTATAAGTTTGAGATATGTAAGAGTAGTTTTCAAGATTGGAATTAACACATATTTATCACAAAGGACCATACAATGTAATTATCAGAATCATAAAAAGCATTTAAAGAGTATAATTTTCCATGTCAACATGATACATTTTGATCATCTAGCTTAGAATCATACAATTAAATAACTTTCTGGAGTTATCTGCAATAACAGAGTGTTTTATTTAATTCTGTTCTTTGATGTTTCCTTTATTATTTTCCTAAATGATAACAGCTTCATAACTTGATGTCATCTCTCTGTATGACATCAGAGAGATTTTTAAAAACATTTTTAAATAGTAAAATAACACACATACCTTTGATCCCAGCTCAGAATATTTTTATTGGTCAATTACTCCTATGATGGCAGAAAGGTAGATTCATCAGGCATTCAGAATAAAATCACTTTTGAAATCATTGTCAATCTTTATATGATTTTGAACAGTGTCCCTTTACCTCAAGTAACCTGAATCTGCTTTGCAAAGAGGCAAATCTTTATTTGGGGCAAAATTTGTCCTTAAAACATACAAACATTAAATAAATATTTTGAGCTTTAAAAGGCAAGTTTTGTGGGAAAAGGAATCATGAGCAGGTGAGAGATATGTTTTGAGTTTTTAAATAAAAAACAAAATCAATGATAGAACCTTCAGTATATTTGGATTTCTAGTCAAGTATTTTTACCTGACCTCATACAACATCACTGAATTTAATACTCCCTAAAGATGGAATAAAAACTGAAATACTCTTCGATAATGACTCAAGTATACCATGTATAAAAAGACACATCTATAATCACTGATATAGGTAAACTGTCTCAGAGGTATGGGCAATGCCTTTTGACACTTTATCTATGTTTGAACCACACTGTGTAACATTGTATCATTATGTTGCAATGTTACAATACCAGACATCTCAATGGGATATGTCTTCATAATTAAACTCAGTGGGACCTCCAGAATTCTGG